AAAAAAAAAAAAAAAAAAAAAAAAAAAAAAAAAAAAAGAAAGAACAACAAAAAAGAACAAAGAAGCTGCATTTTGGTAAGAACTGCCCAATTTTACCAACCAGGTGATTTATGTGTTCATAAAATTTAGATAAGTACTGTTCTACATAATCTTTAATAATCTCTCTGAATTCTAGAAAGTCTCTGATAATAAATACATAACTTTAAACAATTGCTTATTATCTGACCATGTGAAACTTAAATCATGATCTGTGAAATTATTCTGACCATGCAGAAATTAGCCCTTGAGTGGGTGAAGAGTTTAACAAATGTCATCTTGCCAAGGCAGAGAAATATAACTCTGGAGCACGAGGCTAGAGAGGGAGCCCAAGCCAACTTGGAGTGAGGAGTGGTATGGGCTTGGAGACACCATGGACAGGGTAGGGTACGTGGTCTGCTTAAGAAGGGCTTCCCTCTTTGCTCAGGTAGCTCAAGAGTTGGAGAGAACAGAGGCCATTGGAAAGAATTAAATCTAGGAATCAAATTTCCCTACAGAGAGGAAGGAGCAGAGTTCCTCTTCCAAATGTGATATTCTATTTGTGGTCAGGGGACCTGTGGGGAGCTGGTATTATGTCACTTCTCCTTCCAGCACATTTGAAAGCATATGTTCTGGCTTCCAAATCCAGACAGGAGCTTGGGTGAGGCCAGCTGCCTACTGAGAGACCACATATCCCACCTACACTTCTGAGTGCTGAAGAATAACAGGCACCCAGAGACAGTGGGAAATGCCTACCTCTTGGAGGCAAGATCAGGTTGTTGCCTATGTGAAAGCTTTCAAGAAGAGAGGAAAAAGAATCTTGAAACTCGAGGATTTCTGCCTGATCTAGGTTGATTCTCTTAGCCACACCATAGAGGGAGCTTCAATGAGCAAAACTCTGGCGAGGGAATACAAAGACTAGAGGAAATGAGTTTCCACTCCTTCCTTGACCAGTTGAAGCTGAGCAGGGACCTATAATCCCTTATATATCAGTTCCCTTTTCACTTACTACCTAGACTCAAAGCCAGTGCCACATATTTTTGGTTTCTTTATACTGCTGGTTGTTATATGGCTACATAACAACCCCGAAATTCAATGATATCCAGCTGTAAGCATATATTCTTCAAGTGGCTGTGCATTGGCTGGGGAGCAGCATCTTAGCTGGGCTCAGCAGTGCAGTTGCTTCAGGCTGTAAGTCTAGCTAGCTTGGCTCCTTCACTCCAGGTAAGGTCCTGTTTGCTCCATGTGTATTTATTTTGGGACCTGGGTGGAAGGGGCAGCAGTTACCCAGGAGGAGTTCCTATAGTGGTGATACAAGATACAAAGTCAAGTCTACAAGTATGTTGCAAGGCCCTGCTTATGTTTTATCTGTTAACAGCTCATTTGCCAAAGCAAGTTATGTGGCCAAGCCAGAGATCAATTGGGGAGTGAGAAACTGTACTTGCCTCTTTGGGAAGGAATGAAAAAATGATATGATAAAGGCATAGATACAGAGAAAGGTGAATAACTGGACCCATAAAAGACTGGGCACAGTGGCTCACACCTGTAGTCCTAGCACTTTGAGAGACCGAGGCAGGAGGATCACTTGATCTCAGGAGTTTGAGACCAGCCTGGGTAACATAGTGCAACCCCCATCTCTACAGAAAAATATATACAAATTGGCTGGGTGTGGTGGCATGTGCCAATAGTCTCAGCTAGTTAGGTCCTGGCTGAGGTGGGAGGATTACTTGAGCCTGGGAGGTTGAGGCTGCAGTGAGCTATGACTGCACCACTGCACTCCATCTTGGGTGCCAGAGCCAGACCCTGTCCCAAAAAAAAAGCATTCAGCCTAAAAGATGAAAAACAGATTCTATCCTCAGAAAGGCAAACTTGGCTGGGGAGGTGAGGATGAAGGGGTATGAAAAGTACATAAAATCAACAAAAGCTCCATCTTCATAAAGCACAGAAACTTTATAGCCCCAGTAATGTGGGAGACCGAGGTGACTAATAACTCAGGCTCTGAAGTCAGATCTGACCTGAATCTGAACTCTGCCCTTTCCTACCTGAATGACCCTGAGCTAGTTACCTTCCCTGAGCTTTCTCAAAAGCTTTCTCTAAATCTCAGTTTTCTCATCTGTATAATAGGGATAATAATGGTGCATGTGCTGTGGAGTATTATAAAAATGAGTGTCTTCCACATACTGAGTATGTGATAAATATTATTCATATGCTTATTATTTATTTTGTTACCATCTAATATGGCTAGCAGGAAGCAGGAGAAAGATAATAAAATACATTTGATTGCTTCCAGCATAGAACATAGTATTTAAAACACTTAAGACATCTACCCATGTACCCAGCTACTCTTGAAACAACAGAAAATGTAGAGAGGGAAATAGCATGGGCTGAATACCTAACCCTGGCCTACTTGCAGTGCTGCATGCCTTGTGTATACTCTCTCATTTAACATCACTTTTAGCTTTTCTAATGATCAGATCCAAAACAACACGGGCCCAGAGACAACATGAAAATATAATTCCAACACAGCTTCCCTATGCCCACTATTTAGAAGTGTTTAAATTGAGGCTGTGCTGTTAAAAGTGCTGTGTGCACAACCTCTTGGGCAGGTCTGAGAACATGGTTCATGATGTGGGTTGCCAAGCCAATGACACCAGCCCTCATTCCACTGTAAGTCTCCTGCCTCTCTTCCAGTGAGTCCTTAAGAATGACTAAGATTCCCGTCAAGGTTCACCCATGCTCATTAGACTCTGGGGGCCAGTTTAATAAATTGCTATTTTAGGAACTGACCCTTCCTAAGATTTCTTAGAACTAAGGACTGATTTTGCTATCAAGAGAATCGGGGTTATTTGTAAGTCACTACTGTCATATTCTTCCCACCTTAGTTGAAGGAACTCTCATCACTTGGCTCTCCCCCTAGTCTGTTCAACCTTGCTCCTTTCTAAGAAATCCTTTCTATATCCAGCTTTTGCTTCCTTTCTTCTGATGCTGGATTAGTCTCATGGGGAGGAGGCTTGAAGTACAGTCATGGTCACCTGGGCCATGGGGCTGAAGGGGTTGTTTGGATTTGCTCAGTGCTTCTTGTGACCATGATGCATCTCCTCTGCCCACAGCCATCCTGAGTGAGCTCCTGCAAAGGGAGAATCGCGTGCTGCATTTCTGGACTTTGAAGAAGCGTCGGTTAGACCAGTGCCAGCAATATGTGGTGTTCGAGCGCAGCGCTAAGCAGGTTGTCCAAAGCTTTCCCTGGCTCTGTCTCAGTTCTTTAGAGCATGCAGTGGCCCATCACCAAGGCTTAGTCCAGAAAAGGGCCACAGCAGCAGGCAAATTGGGGATAGGAGGGAGAAAGTAAAGAGGAAAAGAAAGTAGGTTGTCACTTGTCAGCAATTCAGCATTTACCAAGCTCTCTGTTTTGAGTTTGGTACCAGGAGATGTGAAGAAATGCTAGATCACCCACTATGCTCCTAATTCATGGATGATGTTGGGCCTGGCCTAGAAGAGTCCCAGTCTACTGGAGGAGACCCTCTCTTTGTGGGATGTTCCAAATTAGGGGAAGGTTCAATCATAAAAAAAAAAAAAAACCTCCCAAATTACATACCAATCAAATTGTGTCAGTGTTTCCTGTGTCAGTCCATTAAGTTGTCCCAACAATAACCTTCATTATAGTATGGCATGTTTTCCTACTGACAGCTGCCTTTTGGGGAACTGGATGGGTTGTTTCCTCCCATAGGCGCTGGACTGGATCCAAGAAACAGGTGAATTTTACCTCTCAACACATACCTCCACTGGAGAGACCACAGAGGAGACTCAGGAACTGCTGAAAGAGTATGGGGAATTCAGGGTACCTGCCAAGGTAGGAAACATCCCAAACCTTTTCCCAAATCTACCCAGAACTCTTCATTCTGGCCAATTTCACATTTTAGAAGTAAAGACAGCTTCTATAAGCAAAAATGCTCAGCCACAGTGGGGTTGGGGAAACATGTAAATGTCCTAAGGGATTGTCTGCTTAGAAACCCGAATACCCAAAGAATTGCCACTGCTGGGTAGAGCAGCTGTATGCAGAAAGTCAACTGCTGTACACTGTGCCTCCAAATACTCATCTTCATGCTCCAGGTTCTGGAATTTGCCATATTCTTTCAGACCAAATCAGGTAAAAGGATGTGTTCACATAAAAATGTTGCATGTGCATGTGAACACTACACATATCCACGTATTCTTGCAATTTGAGTGGCTTGGGAAGTCCACCTTATTGGAAGGACCAGTGACTATGGATACACAAAACAGGTGAATTTCTTATTTTCTGAGCTATTTCCATCTGGCCTCACAACTGCTCATGAGCTAGTATGTACATCCTTGCATGTTTTGCTCTCCAGAGACCTGCTCACAAGCTGGGTCTCTGGGGAGCAAAACATGCAAGGATGTACATACCAATTCATACCAAGATTGTGGGGAAGGCTATAATAGAAGGATACCTGATTTTCATGTTTTCACAGCCAGGATTTGATATGAGGATACTTGGATTTGAATGAAAATCTGATCTATCTCAAGTTCCTCTTTGCAGTATCCTCATCTCTCACACAGGGCTTCTTGCCACATAGGAGCCTTTTTTGGCATCACTTCTACACATAGCAGACACTCTTCCCAGGCTGAGAGATGTTCTTATTGGGGTCAAAGTGGGAAACATATCCTACCAAGAGATCCCTCAGACAGTATAAGGAATGTTCCTCTAGTCTGGTGTGACAAAATTAGGCCCTTAGCCTCATTCCTGAACTGACATTTCAGAAGTAATTATCTACTCTATGAATCCTATCCTATGGACTCTCAATACTGGGGAGCCTTTCCTTGCATCCTTGTGAGCTTTGGGCATTTTTCCCTAATGTGAAAAGCTATTAGCACAGATAAGAGACTCATTTCAATACCAGCAAAAAGCAAACAGCACAAAGAAAGTGGCAGATGCACAGAACCCTATTCAAATCCAAATTAAAATGGCTTGTGAATGAACAAGTTTGGCTCTATCCGCCCCTCTCTAAATAGGGTCGATAATGAGCCATTAACAGGCTGAATAGTATCAGATCCATTGGTGTTTCTGTCTGCATAGGATGGATCACAGCAGATACCCAGAATTTTATAGGGTCAAAATCTTTTTGTAATCAACATGGTAATGTGGAGAATTATTCAGTCAATCTTATTCATCCTTCCTTTGTAACCTTCTTCATATGTTTCTCCTCTTTCACATTCATGTAGCTACTACCCTAAGCTGTAGTAGTTTCCTAATTGGATTGCATGCCTTTGGCCTTTCCTTCCTTCCTATCCATCCTGCCCTTCATTGCTCTTCATCTTTAAAATGCTACGTTGGTTATATAACCATCCAGATCAAGAACTTTAATGATTTTCCAATTCCTTTAGGATAATGCTGCACAACTCTACAGCTGTACCACCCTACCTCCCTAGCTTTATCTTCAATTATTATTTTATTCGGAATTTATGCTCCAGCTGAATGGATGTATTCTCTTGCCCTCTGAGGGATACATCATATACTTTTTGGTCTATGTGCCTTTTTCGTACATTTCTCTGCCTGGAATACCCTTTCCTTCCCTCTAGTTTGTGCTTTTTAAGAGGAACCCCTGTTTCCACTCTAGAGCCTCCTCCTCTGTGATCCTGCCCACATACCAGGATATGATCCAGCTCATCCTTGCACTACAGCCCTTGTCCGTATAACCCTTCACCTGGCACAGACCATCTCTCCTCCAGTAATATATGCAATGTTATCTCCTGTGTAAGCCAACAGGATACTGAAAGACAAGAACCACACTATTCATCTTGAGTTCCTTAGGTTACCTGACTGCATCTTACACATTCAAGGGAGGCTATAACCATTCAGGAATATAAGGAAAAAAGGAAGTTTGAGTAGATCACTCCCCCTCACTTATATTTAATGTCAGTCTTCTACTTTGGCTTTGTATGTTCTCTGTCCCTCCCGACATAGCTATTATGTTCCAAATCTCAGGGTTGTTCATATCAGACTATCTACAAGTTAACAATCCCAGCCGAGGAGCTTCTGATTAGAGGCAGCAGCCTCCTGCCCCACCCTAGTCCCACTTTCCAGAGGTAAACTTCTTCTAATCAGCTGTCTTTGATTATAATCTTCATAACCAATAAAATGAATTTGAAATGGAAACCAAATTGACCTTTAACCACAAGAGAATACATATGGTGGCCCTTATGGTTGAATAGGGTAATGGAGTTCATTAAATTTGATATTCTGCTCCAAAGGAACATATCAAGTAGAAGAAACATTGCATATAAAAAGATACTTTCTATATAAAAGTTCACAAATATAAGAATAAAAATGAGATTAAAAAAGTTTGGATGAGGAAAAAAGGAAAACATAATATTCATATTGTGATATGCCTATAGACAGTCCATTAAAAAAATAGAAATGGTATTTTCCTATTATGGGTTTAAAAATGTGTCGGGGTCAAGGCACATGGGGATGGAAAAGCTTAGTCATCATGACACTTGGAAGAATTCCATTTCTTCTAAAATTAAAACTTGTTTAGATTATTTTGTTTTTTGTTTTTTCCAATTCCATAGTTTTTACTATATTCACAAGGTTGTGCAAACATTGCCACTGTTTAGTTCCAGAACATTTTCACTACCCTAGAAAGAAACCCCTCGCCCATTAGCAGTCATTCTCCTTTCTCTACTCCCCTCAATCCCTGGCAACCACTCACCTGCTTTCAGTCTCTATGGGCTTGCCTGTTTGGGCATTTCATAGAAATGGAATCATACAATATGAGGTCTTTTGTGACTGGCTTACTTCCCCTAGCCTAATGCTTTCAGGATTCATCCCTGCTTATAGCATGTATCAATCCTTTTTTCCTATTCATTGCTGAATAGCATGTCATTTCATTGATATACTTCTTTTTGTTTACCAGTCATCAGTTGACAGGCATTTGGGTTGTTTCCAGCTTTTGGCTATTATGAATAATGCTGCTGTAAACCTTTATATTCAAATTTTGGCATGAACATATGTTTTACTTCCCTTATATGCATACCTGGGAGTGGAATAGCTGGGTTATATGGTGTTCTACTATGTTTAACTTGTTGAGGAACTGCTAAACTGTTTTCCAAAGTAGCTATACCACTTTATACTCTCACCAGCAATTTGTAAGGGTTCCAATTTCTCCACATCCTCACCAACACTTGTTATTGTGTCTTTTTATGTAGCCATCCTAGAGGGTATGGAATGGTATTCATTGTGGTTTGGATTTGCATTTGCCAATAACTAATAATGTTAAGAAAATACTTTTTAAAGCTGGTGACTTCATCTCTGAAAATGAAAGAAGCCATGAGATAAACTGGACTTAATTCATCTTGACAAAAGAAAATTAAGCAGTAATGAAAACGACTGGAGCCTTAGCTGAACTAAATTATGTTTTCTTGGGATTCAGATAGCAAGGAAAGGGAAGATACATCATATACTTTTTGTCTATGTGCATTTTGGTCTATGTGTCCGACACTGGGGATGTCAGACAATACTTTAGACTGAGAGAGGTAGAATCTAAACAGTTCAGGTAAAAGATAGGCATGATTCTGTTCCTGAGACTTTTTTTTTTTTTTTTTTTTTTTTTTTTTTNTTTTTTTTTGAGACGGAGGTTCACCATCCAGGCTGGAATGCAGTGGTGTGATCTCAGCTCACTGCAACCTCCGCCTCCCAGGTTTAAGTGATTCTCCTGCCTCAGCATCCCAAGTAGCTGGGATTACAGGTGCTAACCACCACACCTGGCTAATTTTTGTATTTTTAGTAGAGACGGGGTTTCACTATGTTGGCCAGGCTGGTCTTGAACTCCTGACCTCAGGCGATTCACCTGTCTTGGCTTCCCAAAGTACTGGGATTACAGGCGTGAGCCACCACGCCTGGCCTTTCTGAGACTCTTAAGAGGAATGTAGCTTGTATGTGATGGAAATTTTTGGTTCTTTTATGTATAATAACAAACAGTCCCCTGCCAAATGAATCAGAAGATGTGTTTCAAGAAACCTGTTCACTTGCACGAGGAGCTCAGTAAATTCATGTCACAAAAAATACATTGATAAGGAATATCAATATTCCTTATGATTATCTCATTATAAGGAGTATCAATAATGAAAGGCAAATATGGAAGATTATAATGAGATTATAAGATTACTATCAAGAAGACAAAATCTAAAAGACTTGTAAAATGTGCTAAAGTCAAAAGGGCTTTTAAAAAGTTTATTCAGAGTGAGGCTCACTGATTAGAGGAAGATTATAACCAAAGGAAAAAAGAAAGGAAAGGAGGAAAAGAGAGGGGTGGGAGGGAAAGAGAGAAGGATAAATAGAAAAAATAGAATTACTGAATCCCTCTTTTGAACCTCTGTCTTTTCCAGCAGATAACTAGAATTCAAAATGGAAAGGCAAAACATATATTAAGGGACTCAGGTCTAGATTTCCTGGCCCAGATGAATTATGGTACCCAAAGTTTCCCTTCTGGCCACAAGATCATGTCCATACTTCTGAATGTATCATTCAAGAACTGCTGCAATCTGATCCCCATTATACTAGTTTATATAAGCTACTGTCTTCGGAGGAAAGATTTGAGTTTCAGATGGGCTTAGGTTGAAAGGGAAAAGATATTGTATGACCATGTATAGAAATAAAGAAGAGAGAAGCGACGTGGCTGAACCTCCCCAAAACCCAGAAAAAGCTCAGTGACTCAGCCCCATGCGAAGAACGAGAAATGTGGCATAGTGTCACCTCTGGACATGAAAACTGGAATGTCACCTGAGACCAAGGGCAGCTCAAGCAGTCACATCATCTGGTCACCGTCTGAGAGCAGAGCACCAGAATCTGTGTAAAGTTTACCATTTCTATGCCTCAGCTTCCTTTTTCTTCTTCCCCTCTGCTTTCTGTGATTTCACTTCTACTCGCAGCCAATCACTAGATCCCTATCTGTGCAGTTTAAATCCTCAGGGAAACAACCTCAGTTAACCCACAGTATTTCTTACCCCCTATTTAGACATAGCTTTTAGGCCAGCACACCTTAGGTAGAAGTTACTGGCTGCACCTTGATGGGCTGCCCTCATAAGACAAGTTTTTACCTCTTATCTCAAAAGCTGTAACCAGGCATTTAGCAGGTCATGTGCTGCTACCACAATCATCTATGTATAAGAAAACATTTTAGAATACCCCCAGTGGGGACCATGGCCATGGTTGGTGTCTCAGTGGGCTTATCCAATTCATAGGACAAATTTATCATCTACTTCTTCCAAAAAAGAACCTTTAACTCTTGCTGATCTAGCTTTACTCACCTCCAAACACAAGATTTGCTCATTCATTTATTCAGACAACATTGATGGTATGCTTACTATTTTCTAGACACTGGAGATACACAAAAGAATAAGATGTAATACTTAAGGGTTCATGGTCTAATAAAGAAGACATATAAATAATATGATATATGCTAAAATTGAAGCATGTATGTGATACTGTGGGAGCACTGGGAAGGGCCTCTCCCACTTGTCTTGTGGGGAGGAGAGGAGGGGAAAAAGGGTATTGCATCAAGAGTGGGGATGAGTAGGAACCACTCATCACAGCAGGAAGGGCATGTGACATTCAACATGGCTGCAGTGTAGGGAATGGAGAACAGTGGAGACAGGGCTGCTGCAAAGGTAAGTGGGGCCACATGGGGAAAGTCCTGTCTACACTGCTCGTTTTACTGTCTCTTTGCCCCTCTAGGCCCCACACATACCTAGAATACTCCTGGTCACAAACCATTTGCTTTGTTGACTCTGAATCACAATTTTGATGCTTTAGGATATAATTTTCTCTGATAGAACTGCCCTAATATGGCTGCTGCCACCAACTGGCTGTAAAACCCTTTCTCATAGGTGGAGTCACTTTACCAAGAGCAGAGAATATGTATTTCCAAGACTTTTCATAAAACTTAGTGTTTAAGTAAATATAAAGCCAAAGAAAACTGTTTTCAGGAAAAATGAAAATAGAAAACACCCTACATGCAGTAAGATGAAAGTTCTCAGGATGCCTAGACACTGGAGATACACACATGAATAAGATGATTAAAAAGAGGAGTTGAGTAATTATAGTTTAGATAGAATTAAGTAGATTCTATTTTGAATATAATCTGCTAATTCTCAACCAATTCCCTGTTATTACTCTGCCTTTTCATGGCTGAGGAGATGTTTCTGCTGTCTTCACACCCACCTCCTTTCCCTCACACCACAGCTCTCCTGGCCTTTATCTCCTAATGTCAGGCACCAGCCTACTGTCCCGAGATAGAAGAAGCTCCTATATACTGAGTGAGCTCCTGGAGAGCTGGATCCCTGGTCCCTGGCCATGCGTGCAGCAGGCAGAGCACTCTCCATTCGCCTCTCTGAAGCCCTCTTTTTCTGGCATTTCTTGGGAGGGTTGGTCTCTCATGGGAGGAACTATAGATGAGCCTGGAAGGAGCAGGTGGGATGAGGATAATAGAATAAAGAAAGAAGGGCTCTTTTGTTTTTTCCCCTATATCTCCAGTGATGTCCTGCCTCAGTTTCCCTGTTAGTTAGATTGTAGCATGGTTTAAACCTTGGACCTACTTACCTCCAGTCCAAAAGACAATTTTTCTTCTTAGAGTAGTATTTAAATATTCTTTCCTTTCCCTGAGCAGTTTTAGAGTTTGAAAATCCAAACTTGAGATTTAAAAAAAAATGAGCAGCAGTCTGCTTATTGGATGTCTCTCTCATTCCCGTGTCTTACCCAGCTTAAGTACTGCCTCTCCATGAGACCTTCCCCACCCAGGCCTGTCCACCTTCATTTTCTCCTTTTAAAATTCCTATAGTGTTAACTCTACATTCTCCCATTTTGACATTCAATTATATAATGCCCTGAGTTATTTAACTACTCTGTATGAAATGAACATTTTTTTCCTTTTGTTTAACCCCCAAGCCTAGCCCTATAGCTCTCTACCCAGTACTATTGACCAACTAGGTATTGAACAAACTCTTGCTAAAAATGAAATTAACCCAGTAAACATCAGAGTTCTACTTTACCTAGTCCTGTGATAGATGGTGGCTTCATTAACTTCTTTCTCCTGCTCTCTAATGGAAACTAAAGACAAGATTCTGGTGGTGACAGGGACAGAGTTAACTCTTAAATCTGCTCATTGTATTTATTTAGATCCTGGCATGTGCCAACTTACATGATGTTTAGAACTGGTACAGTGGCGGGAGGGAACTAGGAACTAAAGGGCAGAGATAAATAGGCTCTGTTGCTTACTGGTAGTATGAAGTTGGACCAACCCTAAGCCTCTCTAAGCCTCAGATTTTTTTCATCTGTGGTTCAAAGAGACCTGCATCACTTCCCTCCACCAGCTTCCTAAGGATGCATCAAATCTCAAATGGCTTTCAGAAACAGTAACACACTATGCATATTAGTAAAGCGTACTAATGTAAGAGATTCTTACATCAATAATAATGGCTAATGTTTATGGCTTACTGAGTTCTTACTGTGTTCCACTATACTAAGAATTCTATGTTTATCAACTCATTTAATACACCAACTCTTTGAAGTAGGATCAGCCCTCTGTATCTACAGGATTCAACCAACCATGAGCTGAAAATGTTTTCTTCAAATGGATAGTTGTGTCTGTACTACATATACAGACTTTATTGTTGTCATTTCCTAAACCATACAGAATAACAACTATTTACTTGGCATTTACATTGCATGAGGTATTGTAAGTAATCTAGAGATGATTTGAAGTGTTCCTGAGGATGTGGGTAAGTTATAAGCAAACACTTGTTCTATAAGGAACTTGAGTATCTGGATTTTGGTATCCATGGGGGGTCCTGGAACCAGTCCCCCCCCCCACCAACAACACTGGGGGACGACTGTACTATTATGATTTCCTTTTTGCAGATGAAGAAATGGAGGCACAGAAGGTTTAAATAACTTGCTCAAAATCTCCCAGTTAGTAGTGACAAAGCTGGGATACAAACCCAGGTAGCCAGCTATGAGGTATCTATGGATGCTCTGAACAGGAAAAGAGGATTTGGGGTGAAGGGGCAGGAGAATAAATGTAATCCAATAACTTAAGGCCATCTTTTGGGGCAGCAAACAAAGGAGAAGGTGAAGCTTCTGATTCAGCTGGCCGATAGCTTTGTGGAAAAAGGCCACATTCATGCCACGGAGATAAGGAAATGGGTGACCACGGTGGACAAGCACTACAGAGATTTCTCCCTGAGGATGGGGAAGTACCGGTACTCCCTGGAGAAAGCCCTAGGAGTCAACACAGAGGTAGGCAGGGGCATTGGCCTCGGGACATCCTCCCTTCTCACCTCCCTGAGCAACATTGCCCTTGTCATCATGGAAGAAAAGCATGTTTCCAGAGCAGTACTTCTGAGCTGTTGACCCCTAGAAGACTTGCTTTGTGTGGCTTTTCTAGTGGGGAGTGCCAGGTGGATCTTGCTGATCCATTAACCTCCAGCCTCCTGTGACTAGTACTCTATACATTACAAAATCGACTGGCCAGTGTTGGGGCCTATGGCTACAGAACAGAGTTTTTCTCTGTATAGTGTTAACTGTCGACTTTGAGAACTAAAAGCTTTATCTTGGCTTCATAAAAGCCATCTTCCACCCAATTATGTTAATCAGCAAATGGTTAGAGTCCCCAGTATATATAATAGTACTTTTTCAAGAATAAGGGGTACCATTTGTACAAGGGTTATTTGACGTTTCAACTGAACAGAGGTACAATTTGCCATGAACCAGGGCAGATAGACTTTTAATCTCTTCTTTATAATAGGGATTAGTAACCTGTGAATTAAGAGCTAAATACAGCCTGGCAGTTTAATCCTAGGATGTCTAGTTCTTAAATCTTCAAATAGGCTCATGATCTGAAGCAGAGCAGCATGGAGAGTGAAGTGGCCAAACCACCTAAAGTTAAGAGAGTTAATGTCTCCCCCAGGCTTTAATCTGTGAGTTTTTATCTAGGAAGTTCCATCATATATAAATACCAAATAGTGGTTAAAATTAGCAGGGATGAGCGATGAGAAAGGTCAGCCATTTTTCTGTTACTTAGCTTTCTGTTTCCAAGGGAAATCACTTGTTTAAATAAATATATTTGGTTTGATTATTTTCTTTTGACAAATGAATGGCATTTTTATATCTTTATGAGTTTTTGTTTCACATATATTTTAAATGGTTAAGAATCAGCCTTAGACTAATTTATTGATGTGTGTAGATTTAATTAGGACCAAAGGCCTTGGGGAAATAGATACCTAATTATCAAATGTATTTATTGTTTTTTCTTACTGTGGATATTATTATTATTATTATTATTTTTGAGACGGAGTTTCGCTCTTGTTACCCAGGCTGGAGTGCAATGGCGCGATCTCGGCTCACAGCAACCTCCGCCTCCTGGGTTCAGGCAATT